GAGTCGTTCACGGAAAATGGATGTCGCGAGCTTTCGATACAGGTCCCCTATCGGAATGATCATCGGCGTTCAAGTGCATTGGCAAACAGGTGATGTGGGAGGAAAATACGGGACTGTCACTTATACGACTGAAGATTTGAGTAGAAAAGATGGAAATATACAATAAAACCTGATTATTTGACACGGATATTTATTATACGCTTTATTCTATTGTTTCTAGGGAAATAAATGTTCATTCATATAGATCTTGGAAATTAGAATTTGAGGAACAAAGAATTACGATAAATTTTTACCAAATAACGTTTATAAAATTCAATAGTTATCGAGTTGATGGGTTTCTTAAATCGAGTGATATCTCTGCCGTTCTTAGGGTCTTTTTGGCCCAATCAGATTTTCATTTCCTCAGCGTCATTTCATCTATTTAACCCTGGCACGTGCTAATTTTTTTCAATATTTCCCAATTTGTTTTGTAAACTTCAGACGTCAAGCAAAGTTTAACTAGGCCAAGACCATTTTTTACGTGGAAATCATCGAAAGTGTTCTAATCAAATTATCTTCATTTACATTTTCAATTAAAATAATCTGAATATAATTATTTCAGTTAATATAATTTTACATTAAAATGTAAATGATTTAATATCCATAATTGAAAAAGTATAGCATTATACTGTATAGAACGATTAAAATAATTCAGTGTTAATTTTTCGCGGGACAACATGTACTTGTCCTAAACACTACGCCCGTTTGAATATTCAATTACCGAGCGCGATATAAAAAGTGGCAAAGAGAGGATCGTGCTTGTTTTCGTTCCACTTTTATCTCGGATCTTGTGTTCATATAACGACCGCGAAAATAAGCGATGTCTGGGATTTTAAATGTCGTGTAGCGTGTAAATGTGTACATTTCACGCGGCGCACCTCTGGCCGACGATCATTAAATAATACCCGAAAAACTGTGTAATCCTTTCCCACGCAGTGAACCCTTAATTACCTACCGCGGAGAACGCGAAAGATAAAATTACAAGCGACGAACGTTAGAGCTTCAACAACCAATTAGTTTTTATTATTCATTAGAACACACAGTTGCGAAAACGCGTGCATATTTTCTCACTTCTAGAGGTATGTTAATTTCATTTGTAAGGTCTGAACGGGAAACGAACACATTTCACGCGGTTCGCATTACTTTTTATCGCTGTTTCAAATGAAATACCGCAAATGACTGTTTTTCAGTGATATACAGTGTTCCTTTAAACGGAAAAAATCTACAGTTGGGAAACACTGTTTTGAATCTGCATTAAGACAGTTGATACAGTAGTTGGAAAGATTAAATATTTTCCAATTCAATGGCGTTTAAAGTGGTAACTGTTTTTCGTGAATTCTGAAGGATTTAATGTTGAAACCAAATTTTAGTGCTGTTCATTTATTAATTCTTTAAAATCGAATAATTTTTAAAACTATCCGCTTAATACTTTTAATGTGAATCATCATATAAACAATGTAAGGGTAAGAACGTTTAAAGTAATAACGCATTTTTAGTGGATTATGAAAGATGTAGCATTAACACTAACATTGTATGCACCAATTTTTACACTAATCAGTGGAATATCAAATTAAGTACAAAGTGAGGATAAATAAGATAGATGATATTTTCTTAATGAAAACAGAAACAAAAGGAAAGAGAAAAATGAAAAAAACTGATTAATCGGACAATGTAGAAATAGATACAAAATTAAATAGACGAAAGAAAACGCAGAATTATGAATCAAACTTTAAATCTGGCCATTTAAGCGGTTCACGGTTCAGTTAGCATTAAAATCTTACGTTACCACTATTTACACCGTTATTAATTCCACACAACAAAATAATTTTCGTGAAATAATCCCCTTTATTCTTCGAATAACGGATCAAGCGATTTAATTTATCAGTATGCATGTAAGCATAATTAATGATCGTGTTATCGGCATGTATGTACGAGCATTATTGACGGGCTGTTAATTTTCGCGGTTGACAAGCAATTGCGGAATTCGAACGATGCCAATCGGTTATACAAACCCGAGAAGACGGAGCTGGTGGGGTGCAGTATATTGCAAACGACACATGCTAACGATCACGTCGTGAATCCGTATGGTCTTTTTTAATCCTTTCCTTACTACGAACCATCCGTTCCAACTACGCACAAATTCGTCGCTGGTTGGTTACAAGGAATTCGCGTATGACCGTTAACACTAGAACTACCGAGCATTTAATGCGATTCATATGTAATCTCTATAAAAATTGTAATAGATTATTTCCAATTTCCTTGGATATTTGTTATAGAATTCAAGTGAAACTATTTATTTTCAAGATCGTTTCGAATATTCGATGCTTTTAACACGTTCGCTACAAGCGCTTGTTTCGGTGACGGTCTCTTCAATTATAATATTTTCTTCCATCCAATAAATCTTCTAAACAAAATATTAGAAAAATGAAACTGGAATAAGTCGTTGAGTTCCTAAATATAATGTCGTAGTTTATAATTTCGAATAACAATATCTATAGGATTCATTTCATTTTCATTATGTAAAATATCGGATTACGGCGGTCACAAATATGTGACGCTGGTAGCGGACGTGTTAAGATATTAATCATTGCGAAACAAGAGAACCGAAACCAGTCATTTTTACGGGTACAGTTCTAGTGTTAAATATCATTTACGGGAACCTTCAAAGAATTTTAATTAAATGGTATGAAGTCTAGAAACTGTAATTTTGAAATCATAATTATTAAAAATTATTAAGTAGTAATGTACATATGAGCTATTCAAAGATTAATTAAAAAGTATTTACTTTGTTTTTATATGGTAATTATTATAAAAGATAAAAAAACAAATTGGGACGTGCAGGAACAATTATTAGTCAATTTTCCCTGTTTTGTATCTATATTTCGAGGGTGACAGAGTTTCTCTAGCGAACAGAATGCTCGCATTGGCACTAATGTTCACGTGCGAAAACATTTGGCTGGCAGCAACGATCCACGGAGTTGCGTGTCAAATTATTCGGCAAATTTGTGTCGTTTATCCGTCTACTATTTCTTCTGACGAGAGTACAATATATTTATACAATTATACATAGTAACTGTAAACTATATTTCCATATCTTAGACCTAACGCGTTCAAATAATAAACCAACGGTTCCATTTCAAACTTTGTATTTGTAGTGACCTGATATAGACGTTCCGTTGTTGGTAACCATAATTCAGCAAAATATTGTTAAAAGCACTACTCATATCATTTTAAATCTGTACCACCCATATTAAAGAATAATACTTTCTTAAAGAAAAGATGTTTGTTATAAATACTTAAAACTGTTAGTAATAAAAATTGCAGAAAGAATATTATTGTTTATCTATTCAACTCTTGGTTTCTCAGTGGAACCACTGAATTGCGTAGTAACTCTGCGTACCAAATACCCATTTCGGACCTTCGAAAAACCACGGCACAACATGGGCGTAAATATGCGAAAATAAAAAATTTATTACTACCAGTTTGCACCAAAGATTTCTCTAGAAATGTTACTAGTAATCTTCCGAGTAACAAACCGACCGCGACTTCATTTCGAAGCCTCGCGACCATTAAAAATACAAACTAAAAATGGTGGTTTTACACCGAGACCGCCAGTCCGCGAAGGGTTAAGCACGTACTCATGTTTAACCCTCTATGGGCCGAGTTTCTGTTCATGATTATAACAAAATCCATACAGTACAAAATTAATAAATATCCACATATGCACACGAATTAAGAATGTATTCAATAGTTTCAATAATTTCATCGAACGAGTATATTTTGTAACATTCAAGTTACAATGACGTTAAACTTTCACGTCTGAGCGTACAAAAATTGAAGTTAACTGATTGCTTTATTTTATTCACCACTTCCAGTGCAAAATGAAATAAACCAACAAGATGCCAATATACTGATATGTGACTTCAAAGTTACATGAACCTACAGAGGGTTAACCTACAAAATTCAACGCGTCCGTCATGTATCCAGAGGCGTTTAAAGTAATCGGGCAGAGGCACCGGGACGAACGGACGAACCGGCTATAACCTGTGCGGTTTAAGAATTTTGCCATCTGAAAATAGACTAATTGACTTATGTAATTCGGCGAAACGCGGTCTCTCGGATTTTCGAGCGGCAACCGCGAAAACGGTCTCGGCCGCCGCGAGAACGCACGGCCCGCCGCCGCTCGCGATACACGCGCGACAACGTTACGTGCAGATCTTTGATCTCGCCGGTTGCAAAGCGCACATCCGCGGGCACGGCGTACCCTTATCGCGCGAGCAGGCTCGTCGTCGGTCCTTGGCAAAGCGAACGGTGCAGCAACAGCAGCAGTGAACTATTCGCGGCGCCGATTCCGAAAGACTCGGGCCGCGCCTGCGATCATCGGCGGATGAACCTTCGCGGAGATTTCAGCGGCAACGCGCACCGACCGATTCCTCCTCGAGTGGCCGTGCCTGGGAGGATCCCACTCGACGCCGCTTGACGTTTATTGCACGCCCGTAAATCACACGCCGTCGAGTGTCCGGCGGACGCGTGCAGAAACGAACGAGTTTCGTAATCCCGGGCCTACACACACCTCGGGGGGAAACTGGTGCACAAAGAAAAGACGATGCACAGCGACGAGACGGATGGAAATTGATGCAGGGCGGAGCCAACTCTCGAGATTTTCGTGGCCAGAAAAGCGCAGGCGGTACCGCGTCCTCCCGGGTCTACCCGGCCCTCAGATCAATATTAATACGTGCCCACCGGTGAGAGGGCGAATGAACGGGTCAGAGACACGGGTGGTATCGGTCATGGGACGGGAGAAAAGGGCTGAGAACGGTGTTATCGTGGCGCCGATCGAAACGTGCACGGACCGGATAGATGCAATAGACGTGAATACGGTGCCGCAAGAAAAGTCGAGGGTTTACAGGAGCGGGCGATAGAGAATAGAGCGCGGAGATCGCTCGCGAATGTGTATTTACCGCCAATCTAGGAACGTCCACAGTCTCGTCGGTGCGGCCCACCTCGACGGCCGATGTACTACTGCAGAGAGCCTCGTTTCTGTGGTGGCTAGCAGGCAACATGCAACACCTTTGTATTCTCGTGGGCCGGTTCACGGCACGTCATCGGCAAAATCTGTTCGATCACGGTTGCTAGCTGTCAACCGCTCGCTAGGGCGACCCGGTGTATTAGGGTTGAGGCACTCTATTCACTTACGTAGATGCACTTTATCTTTTCGAATCAACATAATACCTTCGGTCGAATCTGAGCGCGCACGAAGCTTACGGGATTACTTATTGCCACTGTCGTCGGTGTTCACGTACGTATTCCTCTTGCGCACTGGCTTCGTTGTTTCGGAACGGTGCCGCCGCGCTTATCGGTCACTAAACGCGGAGAGATTCTGAGTCGTTTGCATACACGGTATTGGCAGAAACGAATGCGCTCGCGGAACGACAGCTCGACCTCGTACTTACGAGCACGATACGTCCGCGTATTGCATTCTTTCAAGAACAACTGTGCGATCGCGATTTTCGGGACCCCGACTCTTCCGGTGGTGCCCCCCTATGGCCACCGCAGCCTATGTTTATGATGCAAGTAGAGCGACCTCTGTACTGCGTGTCGCTCCGCTGTGAAATGATGAATCAGTTATGGCGGTTTTTATATTTGTCGCCAGAGGGCTACAACCGGCAGACATTGCGGCGATTTTATTACGTTTTATTTGAACGGGGAAATCGTTCCTTCCATAGATGTTATGGTTTATAGAAACAAAGCTGGATCAATTCTGAGGAATGTATATTTAATATTCTGAAATGTGTAGGAAAGACATTTTTTGGTAGTTGTCTTAATATTCTGTGATGCAAATTGTAATCATTAAGAAAATGCGAAGTGGAACAATGGAACAATTTTTTAATTTAGTATATAGATATTATAAGTGAGGTTACAATCATCTATTCTATATTACGAGATTTTGAAGATTTATTAGGAATTAGATCTCTTTCGTATCTAACATTTGTCGCGATACATTTCAAAGAATACAGAGAAGTCACAAAAATGAAGAGCGAATATTTTTAAGGTGTAAGATTTTTCCTGCAATTCTTTTGTATAAATTTTGTATATTAATAAAAGTATATTAAATTGAAATTCTATTTAACCTTTAATTCGTTTTATTCATATATAAGTTCCATGACGTAAAATGATTAAACAGAACTACGACGCCATCCACGTCAAAATGTTTAAGCCACTAACAAAATTAGTACCCCTTCCTACTATTAGATAGAGCCACAGTAGATTTTAAGCGCGAAATTTAAAAGTTTTTATATAAAATCAAGAAGTACAAATAATAATTGTTAATAATATTAATGCAAAGGACTAGAATCAACAATTTGACATAAGCAGAATTCTTTCCAATTGACCTAAGAATATAAAAATGTTAGGAAATAATATATTAAAAACGCTGTTCTTATTATTAGTAGATATATTTATAAAATATGTTTCTCCACGTAATAAATATTTTTTAATAAATTTAACGCAAGTAATGCCTTTTTTTAAATATACTGTTTAAACGTAAACCACATTAGAGCAGTTAGATGACATCTTCCATTTAAATTTCAATATCCAAAGAAAATGTTTAAAGATGCAAAAAAAAGTGTTAAATAATTGACACCTCTTAATTAATTATTAGCATTACTGACGTGTCTGTGAACGATATGTACAATCATAACACAACAAGTGTACAATCACAATGCGTGCTGACTTTAACATATTTTTATTTCACTTCTTCGTACACCTATTACAAAAGAAGCAAAAAGATTCGTTCGAAAACGTTCATACGCATACAAATATACTGTTCAACGTACGCAATAGTTACAAGACCGACGAAACAGAAGGAAAATATAATATATTACACGGCAATCTGTAATTAATGATTTAGGATTAATCGTGCGTGTCGAGTCGCATCGAAATAAACGCGTGGCTCTAAAACGGCGCGTGTTGCAGCACAGTAAGAAAAAATGTCCATAGAAAAATATGACTGGTTTACGCAATAAATCGCACAATTAAACGTGTGAGCATAACATTACGTGTATCTTTTCTCGATATAATTGTCGAAACCTCGTTTTCTCGTCGTGGAGAGTAATCGAAAGGGACCTCGGGTATAATGATAATTAGTAATCGCTCGCTTAAAAATGATATGCTTAGTGAATTGTGTTTCGTTTCCCGTATGTTTCACGATTACGTGTTTTGATATAGTCGGTAGAAACGATATACAGTGAACTTTTGGCGATTTGCTCAAGCGTTCGCGACTACTCGCATATCCTTTTTTTTTTGTTTTTCGACCGTTCGACGAAATATAGTCGACGTCAATTTGATTTTCCTTCTCGTTTACTTCATTTTGCTGGATCTCTTCCGCTAATTATACTTCATTCGCGGTAATGGCTGACACACTTACAGTCGGGGAAGAAAAATTGTAACTCGCGCGAGTTAAAGAAGAGGTATTCGTCGCTGGAATAATTTCTGCCGTTCTCGATTGAGCAGTTTATAACTTGAACGGCATGAATCATTTAGGTACGGGGAAGGGGGTGGTTAATCAGGAACTCAAAGCGAAAGATAAGTTTGATCGGATATCAATGCTCTATACCTGTTCTATCGACTATATAAATACCTACAGATGGGACACATATAATATAAATATGTCTTTCAGTATCTCTTTTTGTCTCTATCTCCGTGAGGGGTGAAGATACAAATTCCGATTCGCATTTGCAACGCTTCGAATATGGTCTAGAATAGGATTAATCCCTTAAATAATCTATGGAAATATTTTGAACGTATTGAAATTAACATTTTTGAAAACCAGAAAAACATTATAGATTGTAGAGTTACAGTTTCTTTTTTTTATTTAAGGAATAAATCCGAAGACGTTAGTACCATGAATCATAAATTCAACCTATTAAATTGGTTTCCAAACTCGATTATTTCATACAATTCATAAGTATGTAATGATAATTGTTAGAATTATTCGATTTTCTATCAACAATATTTAGATTGCTGAATAATTCTAATCATTTTCTTTTGGAAAACTGTAACACAATACATTTAATATAAGAGGTGACTTTTCCGAAAATTTACATTGTGCGTAATTTCCGCACACAAATTTCCGCGACTTGTGCAATTTGTTGTTTGTATATAGCAATACGGAATAATGCGATTAAGATATTTTAAGTAATCCAATATTATAAAAAAAGTAAAATATTAATTTGTTTAATATTTTATAATTCAATTTGTTGGGTTCATCTGAATTGTATTTTAATGTATTTTTGATAAGCTAGAATCCCGGCATTATTTTAATTACTCAGTGGGAATAGAGTTTGATAATAGTAGTGACAAATAAGTAATATTCGTTATATTGTTAATATTAATGTTTACCATTAATATTATAACATTAACAATGTATTGTTTACTACAGATATTCATGTTAAATAAAATGTTTACTCAGAACAAAATGAATATTTAATAACGAAGTTCATTTAATTTTATCAAACATTAATAATTAATTTTTTGCATGAATTATTATAGTTCCACCCTTGTCTCTACTCCTTCTTTTTAAGTAAAATAATTTAATAACTAATGTCATACGCTGCTGAACAAACAAACAAATTACAACGTCGTTGAAAAATTAAACGGCTGTAAATATACAACATTTCGAAACCAACTGTTGCATTTGAGATTTCATTCTCAAGGAATTCTTCACTTTCACCGTCTTCTAAATAGCAATACTGTGCCATGTGGATATGTCGCTTTTGTTAGAATGATAATTGATACCCTAGCTGAAATACTTGTAACGTACACCAGGCAGAGTATCAGTAATCATTATGATTATTGGTTGACCGGTTTTAATACTTACCATCATATCTATTTAATGTTAAGTTACACGTATATTCTTGTTGCGATAAGAGATCAGTAACACATTAATAGTAATTATTACTTGTTTGATGCTTATCGATATCCGCTAAGAATATTACTTATTGTTTCCTTGTAAGAACAACACATTCAGAACATCGTTAAATTCAAGTTCGGCGAGAGTTATTTGACGTGCAGTTCTATACCAACCTCAAACGCCTAAACAAAGTCCCATTTCCATCGACATTCTTGTTAAATTTTGATTTGAGTTTGTTTGGCTTAAAACTTGCATTTTTTCTTCTTGAAAATATATAATAAGAGATCGACGAATTTGTTCGATCGTTAAATTCGTAATATATATGTATACATATATGTACAAAGTTATTTCTTAAAGCTGCAAATATCCCTCGCCATGGAAGTACTGATCTATATGGTAATCAAATAGCCGTCGTTCATTGTTTTTGCGACGTCGAAATTTTTGCATTGTAAGAGTAAGTTCAACAGCAATTGCTTTAGAGTCCATTTTCATGTACAGACTGTTTCCTTAGAAGCTACTACCTACGTTCAGCTGAAGATAGAAAAAACACAGATTTATATTTACGCCTATGCTAATCTACATCTGGTTAATCAGATTGGAAAAGATGCTATCTCAGGGATCAATCTATTCATTTAAGATAAATCAGATAATTGATAATAAGATATATTTGGTAAGACTTAAGAATTGATGAATTTTATAGGAAAATTAAACTCAGCATAAGTCATGTTGCAAATATCAAGTTTGTTGCATATGTATATTTTCAATTTTGTTACTTTTTTATTTACTTAGTAGATAACTAATGCGATGAGATTATATTTTTCAATTTGCAAATAACGGAATTTTTAATATAAGTGACTGGTATAATTATCAGACAATAAATTACTACACAGAGAATTAAATATGTGTGATAAATTAGTAAGGGAGAAACAAAGAAATAGTATGTTATGTTTCTTTAGAAATTACATACAAATTTGGTCTAGAATTTAGAAAATAACTATCAATAAATTTATCTTTGCCATTTAAGAAGTGAAAAATGCAGCTTTCTTACTATGTATAAGCAAGATATATTACAGTATATATAAAACTAATGAATACATTATATGAATTTTTAAACAATTTTCTTTTATAATTTGTGGGTTTTCAACTTTCATTAGTTTAAGTTATTTAATGTATGGATAATATTGCTAGACCAAATTTAGAGAAAATATTACTTTTTAAAGCACACAAAATACAGGTCTCTCAATTATCTTAATATAAATATAGAAATATATTCCTTTTGCTACAAGGAACCTGAAGTAATAAAATCTCAAAAATATCTTATTATCAATGTGATTATTAAATTAATTCACTTTCGTTACAATGCTATCTCCTACAATCAAGATGTTTAACGTTTTTACCTAACAGACTGATTGAGACTACATTTTTCGTTGCATATTCACTGTTTTATCTCACTCATGTTTGGTTAGCATTAAAGTTATCTTAAAATCAATCCTTACATGTTTACTTGAAATTTACAAGAAAATTCTGTTAACATAAAGTCGAGATAGAATTAATCCGAAAATCAATATAATCCTGTTACGTATAAATTCACAATAAAGTAAATTACTAATAAAATGTGTAAAAGCATGAAGAAATATGAATTGAATGCATACATTTGTATCAGGAATTCTTTAGGATGATGGTACGATATAAAAGAAAAGATGCACTGAACATTAGGAGAAATGTGACAATGATTGTATTACAAAAACGTACAGAAAAAAACAAAATTGAAAATAATGAAGGTGCATCGAAATCGTGTATCAAGTAAGGCGTATTCATTTTTTATAAGCAAACAAATCAAATAGTTCCTTTCTTATTTTGCAATCTGAGTCTTTGTATATGATACAAGTAGTTAAAATTTGTGAGTTTGTCTTTCGTAGTATATCTATTATATTTGGAGAATGTGAAAGATTAGATTACAAAATGGTAGTATGATATTTTGATTTTGATTGTCATAAAAAATTTGATAAGTTGCTCCTTGTTGCATGATTTCGAAACCCCCTATATACTGGACCGTTTAACATATGAGAACGTAACGCGACTTCACAATGATTTCAATGAACATAAAAATGTATGAGCTTATTACGTCATGCGTAAGTTAATGTAAAGATAATACACTGCGTATATACAATTACCAATAATAGAAGACACTCGCGTACGTACAAGAAATTATGAATACAATCAAACTATGTACAACGTTAATAAAGTTCCTCTTAGCCTTAGATTAGACGAATCATTTATACGTATCAACTATTCAAACAGAAGATTGTATGATGTTTCTTATTACCCATATTCGCTCACGTTCACGCAGTGTTAGATTCACGTTGAAAGAAATTCAAAATTCATCATCGCACTTATACTCTTTCGCATAACTATTGGCGCAACAATATGCTTCGTTAAAAATTTTGGTAACTAAGGTTGATGTTCTTTTTTGCCATTTTTCCATTGTTTACCACTGATATTAACGGAGTGCATCTATAGTAATCACAATTTCATCGGCTGTTATATTCCGGTGATTTCGATATTGAAAGCTACGTTACGTATGTATATTTGGTGCATGTCCTGAAAATTGACAACTGTTTATCATATTTATATGTATTAGCAAACTTCTAACTACTCTTTGTGTGACTAATCATGGCTATTTTTGCCTTCATCCACGGCGTATTGGTAAGTATTTTAATAAACTGCGTATGTTTATAGACCGACACTAATTATCAACTGCTTAGGCCTTTCCAACGTGAATAATAAATCCGAACGACCGTTATCGGCACAGATGGAACGCGTTATAACATGCAAATGACAAAATTGTTTTTCTTTTTGTTTAAATTCCCTTAAGCCCGGTTATCATAGCTCTGTCGACGAGTGTTGTATACAAGACATTTATTACTAAAAAATGAGAAACCGGAGAAATATTAATTAATAGGCAGATATTCATTCACCCTATAATATGAGGCACACAAACAGCCATTATCATTACAGCGGTGTCATTTATCTTAAGAGATTTAAAACTTGATGCACTCTATTAAGTTCCGATAATTTTAACGAAGATGCCATGTTCCTTTTCAATCGAAATAAATTAATTTCGATCAGATTCTTTCACTCGAACGGAATGTATTGTGAAAGAAAGCAAGACTCTCACTTTCATTATCGAAAACTATAAACGTAGTGTTGCGATAGCAAAAGATACAAAAAAAATCTTTAAAATCACGATACAATAGAAGGGGATACTCAAAACTTCAATTCAATTCTGCCGTCACGATTGTGGTTTTTTTCATACTTAATTTACCTATATCTCTAGGTAACCGCTCGACTTAAAGCTGAAAGCTTGGATACCTATTAACAAGTTCCCAACAAAAAGTGTTCTCTATATAATCATATACAATAGTATATGTAACAGTTACGCTCAGTCGTGCCGTGTGCTCGGAAAAGCGCGACGACCAGGCGCTAATCTGAAGCCACAATGGCTCTACATTAATTAACGTAATTGGTGTTTCTTCCTTGCGCAGTCAACAGTTCACTG